CTGTCCGACGAAACAATTGTCACCTCTGTTTGCATATTTCAGAATATATTAAATGCAATATTATGGTGTTCAAAGTAGTTTCGATCTATAGATCATTTTCTCCAAAACCTCATGCCTTTTAAAGAATCCTCAAGTTCACTAGCGTCAAGAAAGACGAGCAGGAATCCAATTTTTCGGATGATTTGTCGTTTCTCCCACATTATTTGTTAAAAAAAAGTAAAAGAAAGTAATTCAAGCGCCCCTCTAGAAATGGAATGTTGCAAGAATGTGATATTTCGTTTTTTTACAGGAGAGGGGTGGAGGGGGTAGTTTAATTTTACATTAATAAAATCTGTTGTGCTAAGAATATATATGTCAATTACGAGTATATATTCAGATTAAGCGCCCAACATTTGTTTACTATATTGTAGTTTAAAAAAAAATAAAATTGATTTAAACCTGTCCATAATTTGATGAAAAAGTGATGAAATAAAACATGCTAATTGTAATGATACATCTTTTGTTAGCTGTTTATATATTATAATGATAATGGTTAGGTTTTTTTTATTTTGATTGCGGGTTACAAGGCTACAACACCGAAATTTTATTACTTAATAAATACTGAGGCAAATTTCATTGCGCAGAAGTTTTATTACTCTATAAATATCAAGACCACTTAAATTGACAAGTTTAATTAGCAACTCATATTTTTTTTACCACATTAAATTAATCTATATTATAATTACTTTGTAAATAATTTTTAAGGTCATCTAATTACTTTGTAAATAATTTTTAAGGTCATCTGAGTCTCTCAGGTTACCTATTGCTATCTGTTTTCGTCCGTCGTTGTACGTCGTTCCTAAAATTTTGAACATTCTTAACTTCTTCTCTGGAACCACTGAACCAATTTCAACATTTGGCAAATAGCATTTATAGATGAAGCGGAACGAAAATTGTGAAATTCATGGGACCTGTCCCCCCTGGGGCCTGATCGAGGGGCAAGGCTAAAACCACTAAAATTAATGCAATCTTTAAAAATCTTCTTCTTTACTCCTGGACATCAAGCAGTCGAACTGTTGGTATAATAAATTTTAAGGTCATCCGAGTCTCTCAGGTGACCTATTGCTATCTGTTTTCGACCGTCGTCGTACGTCGTTCCTAAACTTTTGAACATTTTTTTGTAATAAGCATTGAGTTCTCTACCAAAATTGTGAAATTCATGGCCCCAGGGTCAGGGGTTCTAGTGCTAGGGCGGGGCTATATAGATTTTATAGTGCAAGTGCATTATGTCTTTGAAAATCTTCATCTCTGCTCCTCGGTATTAAACAATCAAGCAATGTATAATTATAATGAGCAGAAGTGTCTCTTCTAAAATTGTGAATTTCATGGCCCCAGGGTCGGGAGTTATCTTCTGAAATTGTGAATTTCATGGCCCAAAGGTCAGGAGTTCTGAGGCGGGGCCCTATGGATTTTAAAGTAAAATATGCAATTTTACTCTGAAAATTTTCTCTGTTCCTGGGTATTAAACAAACTAACTAAGTACATAGCTATGATGAGGAAAGGTGCCTCTTTGAATATTGTAAATTTCATGGACCCTGGGTCAGGGGTTCTTATGTTAGAGCGGGGCTTATTCGATTATATAATGAAAATGCCTTTATTCTTTGAAAATTATCTCCTTTGCTCCTGGGAATTGAGCTTATGAATTAAGTACATAGTTACAATTCGAAGGACGCCTCTTCTAAAATTGTGAATTTCATAGCCTCAGGGTCAGGGGTTTTGGTGTCAGGACAGGTCTCTATTCATTATAAAGTGAAAATGCATAAATTCTTTGAAAACCTTCTTTGCTCCTGGGTATTAAACAAACAAACTACATAGTTATGATAATGAAGGGGCCTCTTTGAAAATTCCATGGCCTCCGGGGTCAGGAGTTCTGGTGTAAGGTGGAAAGGGAGCTATATTGTTTATATAGTGAACATGCATTAATTCTTTGAAAATATCTCCTCTGCTCCTTGGTACTAAACAAACTAACTACCTACTTAGTCATGATGAGGAAGGGTGCCTCTTCTAAAATTGTTAATTTCATAGCCCTACGGTTAGGCTTTCTTGTGTTAGGGCTGGGCTGTATTGATTATACAATGAACATGCATTAATTCTTTGAGAATCTTCTCTGCTCCTGAGTATTTAACAAACTACTACTTACATAGTTTTGATGAGGAAGGGTGCCTCTTTAAAAATTGTGAATTTCATGGACCCAGGGTCAGGAGTTAGGTGTTATTTAGGGTTGGGCTCTATTGATTATATAGTGAAAATACATTAAATCTTTGAAAATCTTCTTCTCTGCTTCTGTGTATTAAATAAACTAACTACATGCATAATTATGCGGGGCATGGATCATTCTTGCAGAATTATGAATTTCAAGGCTCCTTGATCAGGGGTATCATAGAGGACGGGGGTCTAACTAATACTGTAAATGAATTAATTCTTTGAAATCTGCTCTATTATATTAATCAAACATTTATGATGAGCAATGGTACCTTTTCCAAAATTGTGAAATTTGCGGACCTAGGGTCAGGGGTTTTTGTAGGATGGGGGCACTACTGATTATTGCTGAATATTACTGATTAGTTGAAATGGATTTTTTTGCTTTCCTACTCTGTCTACGTGTATTAAGTAACCAAACTAAACGTGCTAAGTTTATAGTTATGATGAGCAATGGTACCTCCTTAAAAATTGTGAATGTCATGGCCTCTGATTTAAAACATGAACCAAATTAATTCAATTGTTGGAAAGTTGTTGCATGATGCCCAGGTGACCTATAAGGGCCATGGGCATCTTGAAAAAAAATATCTTTCTATGAAAAAATTTTAAGGATGAAAAATTTCGTCTTAGTCCGAAGATTTTTTTTTTTTTGTGAAAAGGGGCCCAGATTGAAAAGATTTACCATTCATTTAAAATATTTAGAAATATGAAGCAAAAAGTGGTGACAATAGTATTTCACTATTTTCATAACAAACAATGTTCGTTTTAACGTTTAAAACAAGTCTTGTCACTAAAATTAAAAAATACATAAAACTTTTCACTATTTTCAAGCAAAAGTTTGGATTTACATGTATTTCTTCCATTTAGGTCAGGTTGGAGACTGGAAAAACCATTTCACCGTAGCACAGAACGAAGAGTTTGACAGAATTTTTCAACTTAAAATGTCAGATAAACTCAAATCAAAATTCTTCTAAAATAAAATTGCATTTTATATGCAGAAAAAATAGACATTGTTTTTTGTTTGTAAACATTTATTTTTCGACAGGGGATGCTCACTCCTCCATGGAGCTGCAGAACTGTAGCTGTTTGCTTTAGAAAACTTGGACAGATCAAGCAGAGAGGTACAGACCCAAGCATTGTACAGACCTTCGATTTACGCCGCCGTTTGTTTTTTTTTTTTGTGGGGGGGGGGGGGGGGGGTTGGCTTCGGGTAGTATTTTTTGTACTTCATGCTTTCCTCCGCTTTATGAATGGTTTCCGATAATTTGCCATATATTTTACCCTTATTTTTGGACATGCGCATGTTCTTTGAAAGATGTTAAAGCACGATCTCCAACATGGATGTCAGTATAGAAATTTTGAAAACATACATTCCAAAAACATAAGGGCTGTTTTTGACCGTTGAAAGGTAGATAAAGTATCCAGCGTAGTTGTGAAATACAGTTGAATTACCATATATCATTTTTAAAGCGTGAGAAAAAAAAAACAGGAAATTATACGTAATGTGAGCGACAACAAACCGACAGCGTCAATTGATGGTTTTCACAATACTTAGATCTCTAGAGCAGAGAGCTACATTCTGCAGCAATCCTCATGGCACATGATCTCACCTCTGAATTTTTGTTAGTCCATGTTTAATACCGCTCCTATTTGAAATTTTAAATGGACTTTTGAGCTCGAATAGTGTTTGTTATCTCCACTAGTTCATTAAATTATTTTTAGTAAAACCCGTCGTGTGCTCCTTTCAATGTTCGGAGAAAAACAAACTTGGAAAATCCGTCGAGAATCCGGTGTGTAAATGATGGCTTAAGAATACTCGTAAGTATGAAAAAAAGTCGGTCAGCATTTGACTCAAAAGTATATTGTATTTGCTGACAAGGTCGTTGTATCTACGATAAAACTTTTTTTAAAAAATGATGACTATTAAAGAGACTGCTTTGTTCATCAACTTGTTTGTCAATAACCTATCTCGTTTTAGAAATTGTCCATTACGTAGAACATGTTCTTCGGTATCAAATCAACTGTGAGATATAAACTCCGTTTGCAATAGTACATTGCAGTATAAGTAAGGGGAGTTTAAAAGTTAGTTATAACTTTTATCATAATGCATTGTTGTTAGATAACTATTAACGTTTTTCCTATTAAAATATCCAAATATGAAACAGATGTGTGATCATGTGTCCGACTCTGTGGTATCTTTTATTTCAAACTCACCGGGATATATCGTGTTGGCATGAAAATGGAAATAACTACAGTAACTGTTAATTGACAATACGTCGTCGATCTATCTAAACGCTTCAAGTTCAGAGCCAAAGCGACTGTTTTCTTTTCAGGGTTTGGCCATTACAATCATTTCTTTTATCCTTCAGAATTATACAGTCAATTTGATTGGTTTAGAGCATGTCACGTGAGGTGAGACAATTCGTGATGTCTTCCTCACGCGCAGGGTCCCAACAACTGTTGTCACCCTTCAGATGACAATGAAATAGCGAAAGCGAGCATGCAGGGCTACAACTGTGTTGAATGAAATTACAGTGGTTTTTCTCTTATTACCAATCTAATTAAAATTAGATGTTCCGAATCCGCTATCGCTTCTCAAACATCTAACAACATCCCATGCCGGGTCACGTCAGAACGACCTTTTCATTAGCCAATGAAATCGCTCTTTGAGAAGTTTTGGCTTATAGTTCGGAGGTTTTCTACGTTATCTCCGTATAATGTAAAAGCCCGAGGTGTTAAGAACTGGGGCGAAAATGGCGGATACACCGAGGAAAACATGTGTATTGGGTGATGTGTGTATCGTTTGCGGGTTTTCCTTTCTTGTGTTAGAAAAATCAGCCGACGGAAAGGAAAATTTACATAAATATTATGAAAACAAGCTCAAATTAAACACAGAAAGAATCCAATGCATACGAAAAGTGACCCAAGTAAGTGTAGAACTTGAAGGTGCAAGTAAATATAATGCAGGTGTGTGTCGGAAGTGTTTTCGAAAAGTTGAACCTGTTATAAAAGCAGAGGAGAAAAACAATGTTACTAAACAGAAACTTAAAGAAGGTGTCGAGTCTGTGTATCGAACGCAGGTGATGCAACTGCCTTCCCCTCGGCGAATAAACATAACGAAGCGGATGTTGAGCAGCCCTGGTGCAAGTAAACCTGAGAATAGACCTACGAAGATGCATGTACTCGCTAGTGTGACATACGTTTCACCTGTCAAAATATCGCCTTTCAAGGAAATAACTGGTGAGAGGCAAATTGAGAGACAACGTCTTCAGGTAAATGAAGATCATATCATTTTAATATTTCCCAATTAAGATCTAAAAATATCATGGACTCTAGGGTAGTTCCCTGTAATTTTTGTTGGCCTCTAGTACAATCCATTGACCCTCAAAACATATAAATCTGAATAATTTAAGGTTTATTTGAGAAAATGCAGTAAAATCCCAGTTATATAGTTGTAGGTGTACAGCTCAGTATCATGTTATACATGTGTATATATATATATATATATTAATAGAGGCAACAGGTCACAGCTATGGAGTCATTGGAGTGCATATCTGGTATGTATTATTGTAAGGATAAAAATAATTTTTAAAAAGTTGATATTATTTCATTTAATTACATCTCAATGAGATGGTGGAAATTCTCAGTGATATATTAACTTTTATTTTCTTCATATGTAATTTTCAAAATGCATTATCGCATAGGCTTGTCAATGGGCATTGAAGATAAACCTAAAAAGTCATCTAAAAGATCTCTGGACTTTAGTCCAGTAGTACCCCCTTTAGATGGATCTGTGGAGGTTATTGGATTTTTAAAAGAAAATTATTTATTGATTATTATTGTTATCAATCATATTAGCAATAAAGACTAACTTTAAAACTAGGTTGAATTTATTCTATTTACAGGTACTTGAAACTTTGTACACATATTACGAACCAGTCATGAACACTTACTTTAAGGAAATGACTTCAATTTGTACAAAATTTGAATGTAACGTCAGACGGGTTGATACTTTTTTGACGCAAGTCACCGTCATGTAGGCAACACATTTTATACAATATAAAGATTTTTTTACTCAATCAAATACAGTATTACAACCAGAATTAAATTATGTATATGGAAAGCAGAAAAATAACTTGTTCATGATTGCTTTGAGTTCAAAGTTCTCTTGTGCCAAAACTGCATATTCAGTTGACTTGATGAGCTCCATTGCTTCAAAATTTATATCTGACCAGGTGTGAAATATTTCTTATTTAAACATCAACTGTCTTTTTTTAAAAACTTATTTTACTGTCTGGTATTTCCAGTAAGATATAATTCAAAGTAACTGTTATCAATTAAAAAATCATATGGAGCTTATTTATTTGTTTTGTTGTTGTTTACCTGATTTTTATGTAGACTGTTGACAAAAATCAACATTTTTGCATGTGAATAATTTTTTTTATAAGGTTTTATTTGTTTGTTGAGACTTGACAAATATCAACAAAGAAAAGTTCCTGGACAAAACTGATGTAAGATATAAATTTCTGTGACTGGCAATTTCAATTTCATTTTTGGATGAACAATGTTAACGTGTTAAAATACAGAATATTATTAGGATATCTTTATATATCTTGATCTGAAACTAAGGCTTTTTTTTTCCTTTATATAATTGTTATGAAATATAATTAACATGATGACTCGCAGTTTTTTATTTAATGTGTTTGTTATTCAGCCATTGACTGAAACTGTCAAATTAAAATTTTAATCATTCTTTAGGTTTCAGTGTACTATCCAAGTGGAAAGAAGACTACTCTTATACAGAATGAGACCCATCAGAAAATCTGCAAGGCATTGATCCGTGGTACAAACATTGATAATACCATTGTGGACACCCTGTGTTCGTCTAATCCAATGTGCATTATAACTGGAGCAGCAAAGATTGTTAAATCGGAGAGTGTGAACATCTGGAAGCGCGGATCTGGATGTTCATAACAGAAGAAAGGCTATGGGGACTTTTTCAACTTCAGTTAGGATCACATTCATGAATACCTCCAGGAGCATTGTCCTGCTCTTCTGTCTATTATCACTGCTACGGTTTGTGACTTGACACCTAGTGTTTCTAGTAAACCATTCCAACGTATAATCCTCACAGCTTGTGTATCGTTAACGATATTCCGGAACTTTTAGAGTCGGACATTATTTTTCAATGTTAACAGTCAACGGAAGTTTGTTTTGTTTACCTGTGGATAGACAATCCTGTGTTTGTGACATTATAGCTCAGTAATATTAATTTTGGATCCATCAATGTGTGAGTAGACACTGTTTTTGTGACTAATGCGAAGTACGGACCAATGATTATATATAGATTTGTAATTATTGTGTTGTTAAACTATACAGTGGCATTCAGTATAACCCACGCTGCTCTGAAAAATCTACGGAACGACGTTATCGTCATAATGTGATAATATTTTGTTTTATTTTAAATTCAGGTTGAAACATTGGAATAAATCGTTACAACAGATAGTTTAATTTGTTGCTGAGCTATACATTTCAACACATTGGAGAACATGGGAGAGGAAATTAGGAAGATGTTACGGAAAAGCGAAGTACAGCAAAGGGAAGGTTCCACAGAATATATGGACGCCTTTTGGAGAAAATTCAGGATGAAGAGGAATCAGATATTGTCAAACAGATGCTCAGTGATTTGGAACAGTCATATAAAGATATGGAAGTACGACATAGTGAGTACCTAGAGAACTTTGATTCAGATGATGAAAATGATAAACCAAAGATGGACGAAGCAAACCATGACATGAACACTTTATACAAAGAGTTGTATCAGGCCAGGTCCCTTTGTCTCAAATTAACTACCAAGAAAATCACATCGCAAGAGAAATGCGTGAAAGAACAATCCCTGAAAGTGAAAAAATTAGATCCGCCACACTTCAGCGGCAAGATTCGAGATTACCCGAGTTTTAAGTCAGACTATTTTACTCACATGATTCCAACATATGGAAAAGATCCCTTTGCTTTGAAGAATTCCTTATCTGGAGAGCCTTTTGAAATTATAAAGGGAGTAGATAATGACTTTGAGGAAATGTTTAAACGTCTTGATCTGAAGTATGGAAGACCGGAAAAGTTGGCGGACACCGTTCAGGCCGACATAAGGGCATTGAAGGCAGTTCCTGAGGGAGACAGCACAAAGTTTACAGAAATGGTGGAGATAGTGGAGGGATGTTGGTTGATTCTGAAGCGGATGGGTTTGGAAAAAGAAATGGACAATGCCACCATGATCAGTGAGATTGAGAAATTATTACCCTCTATCCAGAAGAGAGAATGGGCTTTGCTGAAACTTAGACTGAAGTCTACAACGTTTTCTGATTTGTTGAGATTCCTTTTGGATGAAAGAGCTGCAGTTGAATATATGACTTCGGATATTCGAGAAAGTGATAATGGCAGTGTTTCTCGTAAAGGAAAAATCCATACTATTACCAGCTCACACGAGAAAAATAAGAAATTTGACGATTCTTTTGTCAATGTTATACAGAGTCAAATGCAGCAAAATGAACAGAAAATGCAACAGGTGATTGAAGGATTAGCACAAGTGACAGATGCGCTTCTTAATGGAAAACAGAGGGGAGCAATACACGATGCTTCCAGAAATGATGTCTCTTTCTGGAAAAAATGTTGGTATCACGAGACTGACAATCATTCTATTTGGGACTGCACCGGTTTTTCTGCTCCTGATGGAGAAACAAAGATGGAGTTGCTGAAACGAAACGGTGCTTGTTTTAGTTGCCTGAAAAGTGGACATCTATCAAAAAGATGTAATAATAGAAAGCCCTGTGAAATCACAGATTTTCGTCAACAAAAATGCGGCAGATTTTATCATCCATTCTTACATGGGGCGATAATGAAAGCGAGCGCACATCATCACAGTGTAAACATTGTTAACGAAGAGCAGGGAAAGAAGGGAGTCATTCTCATGATCAGCAAAATAGAGAGTGGTAATATCCCATTGACCACCCTATGGGATCCTGGTGCTAATATTTCTCTTTAAACTTTTGAATCAGCTAGGAAGCTTGGACTCAAGGGGCGTGAAGTGACATTATCAGTGACGAAGGTGGGAAACACATCTGAGTGTATTCAAAGCAAAGAATACTTATTGCCACTGACAGACATGTATGGCAAGGTCTGGCAAGTTAAAGTATACGGAATGAACAAAATTACAGCAGATATTTCAAAGGTGGATGTTCATGGAGTTGTGAAATTCTTTAAAGGGATTAAAGAGGGAGATATAGTGAGACCAGAAGGAAAAGTGGACCTGCTTATAGGAGCTGATTGCTGCGTCTTATTGCCTGAGAAAATTGATCAAATTGGAAATCTTCAATTGATGCGAAATCAATTTGGATACTGCATTAGAGGAAGTCACGCCAAGTTACGAGTACCTGTTACAACGGAGTCAAATCTTGTGTGCATTCATCATACTTCTGGAAGGATAATCGAACCAATACGGTTAAACCATGAAAGCCTTAAGAATGCTGTTGACAATTTTTTCGACATAGAAAGCCTGGGAACGCATTGTGTACCAAAGTGTGGAAGTTGCAGGTGCGGGAAGTGTCCACCTGGAAATGGAAGCTATACGTTAAAGGAAGAACGAGAGTTACATCTTATAAAGGAGGGACTTCAGTACGATGAAGCGGGCAAGAACTGGACTACTACGTACCCAAGGATTAAGGATCCAAAGTCTCTCCCCAACAATATCAATGCAGCGGTATGTCGGTTGAAATGCACGGAAAGGCGCTTAGAAAAGGCGGGACAAGAGTACAGTGAAGCACATGGTGACCAGATTGCGGATATGGTGCAGAGAAGCGTTGCAAGAAAATTAACGGCTGAAGAGATGCAAACTTATGCAGGACCTATCCACTACATTCCACACCATGAAGTCTTAAAACCAAATTCCAAGACTACACCAGTGCGGATCGTATTCGATTCATCGTCCTCGTATATGGGTCATGTTTTGAATGAATACTGGGCAAAGGGGCCAAATGTTCTGAACGACCTTTTAGGAGTTATTATCAGATTTAGGCAAAGAAAAATTGCAATTGCTGGAGATATCACGAAGATGTACAACGCAATCAAACTGTCGGAAAGAGATCAGCACACACACAGATTTGTATGGAGGGACTTGCAGATAGACAGACCACCTGATCATTATGTCTTAATGTCAGTCACATTTGGAGATAGACCCAGCGGAGCAATCTCTACCATGGCCTTGCGAATGACAGCAGAAATGAATCGGGAAGAATATCCAAAGGCAGCTGAATTTGTTATCAAAAACAGTTATGTGGATGACTTACTCACTTCATTGAATACTGTTTGTGAAGCCAAGGAAATAATTCTGAACACTGAAAGACTTTTAAGCTGCGGAGGATTTCATGTAAAACATTGGATTGTTTCTGGTGATCAAGATGACCACTTTGCAGGATTGAATGTGTTATGTGCCGAGCAGGAAAACATTCTTGGAATGATTTGGTTACCCAAAGATGATGTCTGGATGTTCAAGGCAAAACTGAACTTTTCGCCAAAAAGACGTGGAAAGCATACAGAGGATGATATCGAGGATGGACAATTACATCTTATTCCGGGCAGTCTAACTCGCAGGATGGTACTAAGTCAGGTTGCAGGCATATATGATCCTCTTGGACTGGTTGCTCCATATATATTGCCTGCAAAAATTCTCATGAGGACCATGTGTTCCAAAGAAAATCAAATTGGATGGGATGAGCCTATGAGTGAAGATATGAGGGCAAGTGGGTTCAGTTCTTTACAGGACTTTATGATTTGCAGAATTTAACATTCAAAAGATGCCTTATGCCGGAAAACACAGAAGGTGATCCAATGCTTGTTATATTTTCGGATGAAGTCAGCAAGCCTTCGGTCCATGTGCCTATATCAGATGGCATACCAAAAATGACAAATACACATCGAGCCTAGTGATAGCAAAGAATCGAATTGCACCAGCAAAGCAGTTGTCTACCCCTCGTCTTGAACTCTGTGGAGCAGTGCTTGCGTCTAGGCTGCGTCAAAAACTAGTAACAGAAATGAATTTCAAATTCAGTAAGATTGTGCATATTGTCGACTCCATCATTGTAAGAGCGCAAATACAGCGAGAGAGTTATGGCTTTGGGACATTTGTGGCAACACGTGTTGCTGAAATACAAAGCACATCTGATCCCACTGAGTGGTGGTGGGTTCAAGGAGATCAGAACCCTGCCGACATGACTACAAGGGTTGCAGTAGCAAGTGCTTTAGGGACTGACTCTAAGTGGCAAAACGGGCCAGATTTTCTGAGAACTCCATTTGAATTTAGGCCAATAAGTCAAGAAAATACCATAGACAACGATCAGATACCTGATATTATTGGGGTGACAATGTCAATCACTTCTGAGAATCGTTCTTCCCATGGATGTGCTGTTATAGACATAGAGCGGTTTGCCAGTCTGAAGAAGCTTCTTCGAGTTACCAGCATGGTTTTAGCCATTGTGAAATGGAAAACATTTAGAGGTATTTGTAGCAAGATCACTTCAGGGACATCTGTTGAAGCAGAAAGGAGTTGGGTTAAGCACGCACAGGAAAAGTTACCAGATGATTGCATGAAGAAGTTTCAAAGACTTGGACCATTCATCAATCAAGATGGGGTTGTTTGCGTTGGACAGCGCATGGCTGAATGGACCAAACAATCATGGAACCAGAGAGAATTCTTTTTGCTGCCAAGAAAGGGTCGGTTTACGGAGTTAGTTGTGCGCAGTGTTCATGGTGAAGATCATGCAGGATTGGAGGTGACGTTAGGAAAAATCAGAAGCAGATATTGGATTCCCGGAGTTCGAAAAATCATAAGACGAGTCAAGGATAACTGTGTTGTGTGCAGAAAGCGGGATAAAGTAACAATACAACAACAGATGGGTGTTTTACCTTCATTCCAACTGAATCCAGCACCTCCATTTTATAATTGTGCCGTTGATATGTTTGGACCATATACCATACGTGACACAGTCAAAAGACGAACACATGGAAAGGCATATGGGGTATTGTTTAATTTCCTCAATTGAAGGGGTGTGTACATCGATTTGGCGGAAGGTTATGACACAGGAAGTTTCCTTGTTGTATTCAGGAGATTTGTATCACTTCGTGGCAATCCAAAGCGAATGATTTCTGATGCAGGCACACAGCTAGTAGCTGCAGGCAAGGAATTGGATAAGTTTGAAGTAGAATGGAACGTCATCAAATCTGCGGACGCTCCATGGGAGAATGGTTGTAGTGAATCCTTAATCAAGTCTGTGAATCGATGTCTGCAAATTGCTGTTGGGGATTCAATTTTAACGTTTTCAGAGTTGCAAACTGTGTTGTTTGAAGCTGCAAATTTAATAAATGAGAGACCTATCGGGACCAAGGTGTGTGACCCAAACGAAGGAACGTACTTATGCCCGAATGATTTGCTGTTAGGGAAATCCACTGTTCGGGTTCCTCAGATGCAAATGGAAGAACGTTGCAATCCACGATTGAGATGGAAATTCATTCAACAGCTGGTTGATACCTTTTGGAAAAGATGGATTAGAGATTACTTTCCCACTCTTATTGTGAGACAGAAGTGGCATACAAGCAGGAGAAATCTGAAGCAGGGTGATCTTGTGTTAGTCCAGGATACAAATCTAATTCGTGGAAAGTGGAAACTTGCTCAAGTTGCCGAGGCAGAGCCTGGAACAGACGGAAAGGTACGAGACGTCACAGTGCGATACAAGAACGTGGGACCAGGTGCAAAGTATGACGGGTGTACTGACACTGTCATTCGCAGATCTGTTCATAGACTTGTAGTTATACTACCAGTGGATGAATGTGATTAGTTGTGAACTTGTCAAGAAACGTCGGGGGGAGTGTATCGTTAACGATATTCCGGAACTTTTAGAGTCGGACATTATTTTTCATTGTTTACAGTCAACGGAAGTTTGTTTTGTTTACCTGTGGATAGACAATCCTGTGTTTGTGACATTATAGCTCAGTAATATTAATTTTGGATCCATCAATGTGTGAGTAGACACTGTTTTTGTGACTAACGCGAAGTACGGACCAATGATTATGTATAGATTTGTAATTATTGTGTTGTTAAACTATACAGTGGCATTCAGTATAACCCACGCTGCTCTGAAAAATCTACGGAAAGACGTTATCGTCATAATGTGATAATATTTTGTTTTATTTTAAATTCAGGTTGAAACATTGGAATAAATCGTTACAACAGATGGTTTAATTTGTTGCTGAGCTATACAGCCTGTATTGGATTGCATGGTAGAAGCCAAGAAATGTCCTTGGTACAATATGTTGTTGGCTTCATTCTAAAACATGGTGGATGCACGGATCGGGAAATACTTTTATATTTTCAATTATAATTCATGCTGAATTATTATAATGTATAATGATCCTAACTTTGTTGTCTCCTTTTAAATTTGGATAAACAGGTATTATAAAAATAAATAAATTTCTCATCCATAAAAAACTAATTAATGTTTGGAGTCAGAGTTGACAATGAAATTGAATGTTTCTGACTTTCTTTCTATGGAAGAATGTCAAAGAACAAATATCTTTTTAGTGTAATGAATCTAATTCTATGTTTTTGTTAATATTATATAACAGGATATTTATTTTTTAAAAATATTTAATGTGATACCGCATTTGGCTGTTTCTCGGTTGACATGCAAAATGTATTAAATATTGGATGTTATAATATTCCTTTGCAATGTATTTTATGAAATACTGTTTCATTTACTGGTTAAATTGATTCTACCAACTTGAGTTCTCTTAGATTTTTTAACACTCTTTTACCTTCTAATGAAATAGGAGAAGTAATGATCTACATAATTTTTTTTATTATTCCAGGCAATTCATAAACTGACTTACAACTCCCAAAGTGGCTCAGACAGATGGACTGCTTACTACTTTCGAAATCTTTTAAACTTGCGAAATGTTAAGGGGAAAGTGTATAATGCTTTTAGAGCGTACAAGATGTTATATTATGTCATATTGGATGGAATCTGTTTAATAATGTTCCTAACCATAATGAATTCTGAGAATGTCGATGAAGAAATTCAAATTCCAGAAGATTTTGAAAACAAGACAGATGAAGAGAAGATTGAATGGATAGACGGTATAAGTAGTCAGATATTGAAGAAATGGTTTTTTGAAGAATCGGAAGATATTAATTTGTGAAAATTTAAGGGAGATAGTTTCAAACCCAGATCATCCTGATAATTACTGGATCTCAAATGTGCAAGAGGATGGTCGTTTCAAATGCCATCACTGTGTAAAAACATACAAGTACAGCAATACCTTACAGTATCATGAAAAAAAGTATCATGACGTCAACATTGAAAAAACAAAACCTAAGCAAAGAAAAAGAGACAAAGACGAAGTGAATGAGTACATAGTTATGTTATTTCGGTTGACATTGGTGATGGAGAAAGAGTTGTCCGCTCAGCCAAATATGAGCTTCCAATTTATAATCTGACCAACAAGGTAAAATACATGATTGGGTCTATTCATTTGACAGCCCTTACGTCGGGTATTCTACCAGAACACCAGAAAAATGGACTCGTTGCAAACAGATTTGTCAATGTACAGGGTGGAAAAAACAATAATATTTCATTGGATGAATACTGTAAACGTATTACATTTAGCTATGTATTCTTTTTAGCGCCTTTCGCGGAAAGCAGCCTCCGCTAAATCAAGTACATCGCTAAATGCTTTGTGTATAAAGGTTTATGTAAAGCACATTCAAAAAGCGCTAAATCAAATCTACGCCAACTTGTTGAAAATTCAATTTCCGCCAAATATCGTACACTCCAAATATAATACATTTACAGTATTTAGAAATGCTAAACAGAGACAGTAAAGTTGTTGCATCAGGGCATCAAACAAAATACAGCGTACTGCAGAACTCAAAAAATTATCCTCATTTAGTGAATATCAAGGATCATTTTGAGAAAGTAACTGGAATAAAAAAAGAAAGGGATTTCATCATCTGCCGTCATACAAGACGGATGTTTTCAAGGTTGTAAAAGAATTGACTGATCAGAATGCTTTAACAATAAACCACCAGCGTAGACTAGATTGTAAAACTGAATCCAGATCGTGATCTGTATTCCTCAGCGTACAAGGGACTCTGTACCATGATCCATCGCCATAAACCATCGGCTCCATTCAGGCGCTTGAGAGACCCACATGTATGAATACTGGTTCTACCGTAATAGACATGAAAATCATGCCAAACTGCATGTACTTTGAAATCCTTACTATTGGTTTAGTATTATCTATCACTTATGTTGTAGGTGATTCATGTGGATAAGACTACATGGTGTTATTTTATATACATAACCAAACTTAATGCAGTTTGAAAATGCTTTTTTTAAACTTGTAAGTAGATGTATGAAGGAAATTGATGAACAAGGCTCTTAAAAATGCCTATAACTTCAAATGTTTAAACTTTAAAAGTCATCTTCAACTTGTGAATTTACACTATACTATACAGCTGATGACAAATACTGAAGGTGCATTTAAATCCTGTTTGTGATATATCCCTTGATAAAATAGACTTAAATATTTGTCAGAAAGATACAATTGATACATTATAAAAGTATATCTTTAAGGTGTAGTAGGTCTTTATTGTATAATTTGTTACTTAAAAATTCTACATTTTGCAAATACTTTAAGCATGTTAAGTATAATCTTTCAACAACAGAAGACTGAAGATATACTATAGTTATATGAAAAGATTGTGTGAAAGAATGAATATGGTTATTTTTGACAATTTTTATGTAAGCTATTTTATTGACAGATTATTTCAATCTTTGTGAGATTGTTGGAAATTGTGGTAATAAAGAAAATTTTGCAATGTGAGATAATTTGTTTTCCCATCTTTCACAGAATAGGCATGTTGCTGACCCTCTCCATCTGTCTTCTTTGTGTGTTATATAAAATGGTCAAACACTTATATACCATAAAATATTTTATTGTTGATTGTTTTTCCTTCTTTTTGAAAAATATGCTATTGATGGCTTTTAGTGTTGGCAATTATTAACAAATGCTTCGAATAAATGAAAACATGGTCCACTTTTGAGTCTTCCTTAATCATGTTAAATACTTGAATGATTATAGAAATGCACACAGGCATTCAGGGCTGTCCATAGGAATTAAAATTGGTGAAATTTATGAAAAGTAGAATGGAGTTTGGGTTCCTCCCTTAACAATGGGGTAAAGGAAATACTAAAGTAAATAGGGGATTACATCATATAAGGTCCTAGGAACAACCCTGTGTATTGTCAGTTTATATCTGAAAACTGTTCTTTGGGAGATCTTTTAAAAATTCATTGTCTGATAAAAATCTACGTTGTTGAATTTTGGTAACAGGTTGAATACACAAGTTATATTACAAAGTATGAAATTAAAACTATTAAATACATATACTTCTAAAATATTATTTTATGTTAAAGTCTCAAAGTTACTGTAATATGAACTATTTTTGTCAGACATTGAATCTTTCGATCTTGTTTAACATCACTTATGATTGTTCCACATTCTAGACTATTGATTAACAAGGAGGCTAAACGTTGTTGAAAACAAGGATTGTACAAGTTTATTAAATTGTCTTGAATGTGATGAAACAAGTCCAAACTCTGAAAAAGGTGATCATTAACATTCATTAAACATATTAAATTGGACAAATTGTTGCTGAGACAATGGGTAAATTACTGACAAGCAAGTTGATGAAACAAGAATATCAGCAGATTGTTTAAAGTCATCATTTCGTAAGTTCTATGGCCGATACAATGACCTTGTCAGCAAATACAATTTATCATTGAGTCAAATGCTGACTGACGTTTTTCATACCAAATTGTTAGTCCATTATTTATACACTGAATTGTCGACAGAATTTTCCATTATTTCATGATCTTGACAGTGAGCACATGGCGGGTGTGGCCGGTCAGCAGGAGATGCTCACTCCTCCATGGCGCCTGATCCCACCTCTGATGTTTCGGAGGTCTGATAATTAAGGACCCTCAAAGGGACAAAAAAAAGTTGTGTATTGATGAGTTGTAATAGAAAGCAGTTGTATAATTTCACTTTAGGGGGTACCGTCATACACGTCATATGGGTTCTAATAAATAAATAACTCATAGACATTTCTCTGTCGAAAAACAAAAAAAGGTAACGGGATGTTTCGCACCTATGCATGGTTCGCGCTGAGATGTTTCGCAATAATTTTGTTTTGCGCTGAGATATGGTTCGCCCCTCATTGTTGTACAGATATGTGCTAGCCTACTGTTGTACAGATATGTGCTAGCCTACTGAAGTTCATTAACAACATTTTAGATTTTAAACATGTTATATTAAAGAAAAGAAGTTTTGGTCAACAAGATAATTGATTGGTAATAATTCAGCACAAAGCAAGGCAATTACAATTCGTCATGCCTCATCACACTTCCAGTGAGGGACAGCTATCCAAAAAATAGAGATGCATTTTTTGGGTAAAAAGTGTTTAAAAGAGGCAATGTTTTTACTATCTATGCCCTAGGTTGTTTTTTATCAAACCTTTTTACAAAAATATCATTCATAATTTTCATGTGACTTTTTGTCTACTTTTCATAAAACAGAAACTTGTTCAAAAATAACTAAATAAAGTACATTATATAGGTAAATAAACACGATAAAGTTATATAGGTAAATTAGGCTATATAGCTAAATATAGTGATTTTTCTTGACCCGATAAAGTCATGCATTTGAACACACAACATTAATATATCTTATAATTGATATATATATAATTATATTATTTGAAATAGATAAAAATGTC